TATCGCAGTAACGTTTGGAGTTTACAGCCGTTAAAAACTTCCACATCCGTCCTTTTAGAGTTCTATTAAACCTCTCGACTACACACGCTTTAAAATCGGTTGCTGTGGCAAAATGATGTATGCCATATTTTTTCATCAGTAGTTGAAAATGTTTATTGAAAAACTCCGTCCCCTTATCTGTTTGTAACTTTATCGGTACGCGTCCTTCTTTCAGGATAGATTCGAAAGCTTTAGTCACCTCCAGCCCCATCTTATTTTTCAATGCACGTGTCCATGAGTACTTGCTGAACACATCGATAACTGTAAGAATAAATTTAATATTATCGTTCTCTTTTGAGTATGCTGTCATATCGACCAAGTCAGCCTGGAATTGGTTATCCTTACCGGTTATCCTGGTTATCCTTATGCAACTACACGGTTCCGTTTATAATTTATTGGTGCAGTCTTGTGTAACGTATATACGTCCTGTTTGGACAACCATTCGTTAATATCCTTATCATTTAATTTTACGCCGTATTCCTGTAACACAGCCTGTTTTAATCTGTCCTTACCGCCAAAAGCTCCGGGGCTTGAGGGGTTATAGTAAACTTTTTTCATTAGCTCTGACATGTTACTACCTCTGTCACTCTTCATAAAATAATGACCGGTCCTGATGTCACACCGATTTTTATTTCAGATATCTACACGGTTCATCCAAACATCAAAATAAAATTTACACACATTTCAAAATTTTTCTCCAACATGTATTCAACTAAAATATCAATCATTTTACAAACATCGGGGTATTCATTCCTTGACAATTTACAAACATCAGTCACATACGTACAAAGACATAATATATTTCCTTTTCTAAGAGATTCCTTGCATTTAGGCATCAGTTCAAGAATGTTGTTGATAGTCGTGCTAGGTATGTGTTTGATGGACATGTTTATCATATTATTCCATTGATTTGATATTCCCCTTACAGTGTTCATCTGATTCGATAATTTTGTCAGACGTTTATCAACCATTGTAACGTTATCACCTGTTGCATGATTATCATCGATAATCTTGTACAGCAAATTTGATATCTCACGTTTTACATACGATTTAAAGAAATGTTTGGCAATCCAGAAGGTGCAGCAGTTCCCTATCGAGGGAACTCGAACTGCGTCCAAGTGACACTTTGGGGGGAACGCCCCTCAGCGTAGCGTCTCTGAAGCATGAATGAAACTAAGCCAATCTCCGATTGGATCAACGTGATGACGTGATGTGTGACGACACATAGGCGGAAGCATATATAAGGAACCGGCACACACAACATGTCAGCTTTCTGTTCTTCAGCTAAGCGCTCTCTGTGACTGTCAGTCTTATTTATTGTTTGTCTGTCTAAGCAAGTATATCTCCCTAAAATCTGAATAATGGCGAGTGTGAATTTCAGGCGGTGTGTGCACCCTTGCCCTCGCTACATCACGGGCGGGGACACACACCAACTGTGTACACATTGTCTGGGAATGCAGCACGCGCAGGCAGCTCTCGAGGGAGCTGCTTGCGAGCATTGTGAGGCTTTACCGCTCCGCGTGCTGCGTTCCCGGCTGGCCCTTTTCAATGAAGAGGGTCAGCCTCGTGAGCCCCGTGGTGCGGGACCCGCGTCCGCCGAGGCGGCGCGGCGACGCTCTTCATGGGGCTCGCAAATGGATCTGTCTGGGGATCCCGAGGCTGCTGAGGCACCTTCTCGGGATTCATCGGACAGTTCCGATGCCCTCGAGCCTCGCGCAGAAGCCCGCTCGGCGGCTTCTTCTGCGCGAGTCGAGGATCCGATGCTTGAGCTGTCTGCTTCCGAGGAGGTGGACGTGCTCAGCATCGAAGGGGGCGGGGACTTCGGGGATGACTCGCCACCCCGTGTCCCCGCATATGAGGAGCTGGTAGAGGTTGTTTCCCGTGCAGTGGCTCATTTAAAGATCGATTGGCCACAAGAAAAGCAGGAAGTGCAAGTTAAAAGCAAATTAGATGAGCGCTTCCTGCAGCACAGGGAACAACCTCATCATCGGGGCTTACCGTTTTTTCCCGATTTGCATACTGAGGTGTGTAAATCGTGGAAGAAACCCCATTCTTCTCGTGTTTCCAATCCCACTATATTAAAAAATAGCAATATCATGGGGGCACGAGAGAATGGTTATGGGATGATGCCGCGGGTTGAACAGCCTTTGGCTAATTATTTATCACCTGAGTCGGCATCATCCTTTAAAGCCCCGGTGCTGCCCACCAAGCCATGCAGAGAAACATCTTCACTGGTGGGCAGGGCATATATGGCTGCGGGTCGGGCTGGTGCGAGTCTTCACACCATGGCGCTTCTCCAAGCGTACCAGGCCGACCTTCTTAAGGATATTGATGAGGGCGAGGGACCAACTCCGGAGGATGTGGCGGAGTTGAGGAAGGTCGCTGATTTGTCTCTCCGAGTCACCAAAGAGACGGCCCGCGCTGTCGGTCGCTCCATGGCGGCAATGGTGGTCTCGGAGAGACATTTATGGTTAAATCTGACGGGCATCAGGGAGAAAGACAGGGCTTTCCTCCTTGATGCCCCGATTTCACCTTCTGGCCTGTTCGGCGACGCTGTTAGTACCGTTGTCGACAGGTTTCAGGAGGCGAAAAATCAATCAGCGGCCTTCAAACAATTTCTCCCTTGCCGCTCAGTATCCAGGAAGTCTGCCCCCAGTGGGCAGTCGCAGCCTCAGCCAGGTACCAGCTCCTCCACCTACAGGCAGGTTCAGAGAGAGAGCGTCGCGTCTAGAGCCCCCCCTCAAGGAGCTTGGGGGCATAGACGGCGCTCTCAATCTAAGCCGCAAGCCAAGCAGGGCGACCTGAGGGCCGTCCTGCAGGCTAAGAAAACATCTAAGAGGTCCTAGCAGTGCTAGGATCTCTGCGGGCGGCCCCACCCGTGATGGAGCGACTGAGGTCGTCTCCCTCGCGGAGCCCGCAGGAAATCGATGTTGTTCTCCCGCCGTCAAGTACGTTTCGGGACGCATCGGTTTCCAGCGATCGCAAGCTGCTTTGTCCGCCCCACGAGCCTGCGGACGGGCAGCGATTGCGTTCGCCCATCGAGAATCGTTTTCGGTCCAGTCCTGCCGGAGATCCGTTTCAGGCGGTCGAGAACGAATCCCGATTAATACCCGAAACCAGGCTCGAGAGCCTGGTTCCCTTGGCAAAATATTTCGATGCATGGAAAAATCTAGCGAATATTTCCCCGTGGGCGCTGCGCACGATACAATACGGGTACAGGCTGCAGTTCGGGTTCCACCCACCCAGATTCAATGGGGTGGTCTGGACTGTAGTCAACCCGACGCAGGGTCGGGTATTGGAACAGGAAGTAAACTCCCTGCTGGCAAAGGGGGCCATAGAGCATATTCCTCCACTAGACAGGGAGTCCGGGTTTTACAGCCGCTACTTTATAGTTCCCAAAAAAGATGGGGGGTTGCGTCCGATCATAGATCTCAGATATCTGAACCGCTCTCTGAGGAGATTCAGGTTCAAGATGCTCACTATTCCCATGATCGTGAGTCAGATCCAATCCGTGGATTGGTTCGTCACGATAGATCTGAAGGACGCATACTTTCATATATCCATCCTTCCATCCCACAGGAAGTTCCTGAGGTTCGCTTTCGGGGGCGAAGCGTACCAATATCGGGTTCTTCCATTCGGCCTAGCTCTCTCTCCCCGCACATTCACCAAATGTATGGATGTAGCTCTAGCACCTCTGAGGCTCCAGGGCATCAGGGTGCTCAACTATATAGACGACTGGCTGATTCTGGCCCAGTCTCAAGAGCTGGCGGTTCAGCATCGAGATGTTGTTCTTGCCCACATCCAGAAACTGGGGTTGAGACTAAACACGAAGAAGAGCGTGTTGATACCAGCCCAAAGGACTACGTTCCTGGGAGTGGTATGGGATTCGGTCGTAATGCGGGCACGATTGTCGCCTGCGCGAGTCGAGTCCATTCTGGCCACAGTGGCTGGGATAAAGCTAGGCCAAGCCGTCACTGTCAAGCATTTCCAGAGAGTGCTGGGACTCATGGCAGCAGCGTCCAACATCATTCCATTTGGCCTGCTGCACATGAGGGCCCTCCAGTGGTGGTTAAAAACCAAGGGGTTATCCCCGAGGAGAAACCCGTTCCGCACAATCAGAGTTACTCGCAGATGCCTTCGTTCTCTGGTTATGTGGAAGAAAGCTTGGTTCTTGTCCCAAGGTCCAGTGTTGGGAGCGCCATGTCGCCGGAAAACCGTTTCGACAGACGCTTCCCTCACGGGCTGGGGCGCAGTCATGGACGGCCGCTTCACGACAGGCCTATGGCGGGACCATCATTCCTCCTGGCACATAAACTGCCTGGAAATGTTGGCGGTCTCCCGGGCTCTGAGGAGCTTCCTGCCGGACCTCAGAGGTCATCACGTCCTCGTGAGGTCAGACAGCATGTCAGTGGTGGCCTATATAAACCATCAGGGGGGCCTGAGGTCTCGCCCTCTATGCAGACTGGCGCATCAGATCCTCCTGTGGTCCCAGGGGAAACTGTTGTCTCTGAGAGCAACATACATCCCGGGAAGTCTAAATCAGGGAGCAGACGTCCTGTCGAGACAGGGGCTGAGGCCCGGGGATTGGAGACTTCACCCCGAGGTGGTGGAGTCGATATGTCAGAGGTTCGGCCCTGTGGAAGTGGACCTGTTTGCGTCTCGAGAGACGACCCACTGTCCGCTGTGGTTTTCCCTCACCCCTCCAGCCCCACTGGGGCTGGATGCTATGGTGCAGACGTGGACGAGGCTGCGTCTGTATGCATTTCCCCGATCACTCTGCTCCCGGGAGTTCTGGAAAGGGTCCGTCACGACGGGATCAGTCTACTGTTGGTAGCCCCGTTGTGGCCGGCCCGAGTATGGTTCTCGGACATAATATTGCTCCTAGACGGCCCTCCGTGGGAGATTCCCCTCAGGAGGGACCTGCTGACACAGGCGGGGGGCTCAAAATTTCACCCTCGGCCGGAGTTATGGAAACTGTGGGTCTGGCCCCTGAGGGGGCACAGTACCTAGAGGCCGGCCTGTCAGCTGGAGTAGTGGAGACCATACTCAGCTCTAGAGCTCCCTCCACGAGGAAACTGTATGGTTTAAAGTGGAATGTGTTTATTGATTGGTGTAGGAGGCGTGAGGTTGACCCAGTTAACTGCCCAGTGGCTTCAGTGCTGGAGTTCCTCCAAGATCGCTTCTCCTCTGGTCTTACCCCGTCCACGCTCAAGGTGTACGTGGCTGCCATTGCGGCTTTCCACGCTCCGTTGGGTGATGGGTCTCTGTCATGGACGGCCGCTTCACGACAGGCCTATGGCGGGACCATCATTCCTCCTGGCACATAAACTGCCTGGAAATGTTGGCGGTCTCCCGGGCTCTGAGGAGCTTCCTGCCGGACCTCAGAGGTCATCACGTCCTCGTGAGGTCAGACAGCATGTCAGTGGTGGCCTATATAAACCATCAGGGGGGCCTGAGGTCTCGCCCTCTATGCAGACTGGCGCATCAGATCCTCCTGTGGTCCCAGGGGAAACTGTTGTCTCTGAGAGCAACATACATCCCGGGAAGTCTAAATCAGGGAGCAGACGTCCTGTCGAGACAGGGGCTGAGGCCCGGGGATTGGAGACTTCACCCCGAGGTGGTGGAGTCGATATGTCAGAGGTTCGGCCCTGTGGAAGTGGACCTGTTTGCGTCTCGAGAGACGACCCACTGTCCGCTGTGGTTTTCCCTCACCCCTCCAGCCCCACTGGGGCTGGATGCTATGGTGCAGACGTGGACGAGGCTGCGTCTGTATGCATTTCCCCCGATCACTCTGCTCCCGGGAGTTCTGGAAAGGGTCCGTCACGACGGGATCAGTCTACTGTTGGTAGCCCCGTTGTGGCCGGCCCGAGTATGGTTCTCGGACATAATATTGCTCCTAGACGGCCCTCCGTGGGAGATTCCCCTCAGGAGGGACCTGCTGACACAGGCGGGGGGCTCAATATTTCACCCTCGGCCGGAGTTATGGAAACTGTGGGTCTGGCCCCTGAGGGGGCACAGTACCTAGAGGCCGGCCTGTCAGCTGGAGTAGTGGAGACCATACTCAGCTCTAGAGCTCCCTCCATGAGGAAACTGTATGGTTTAAAGTGGAATGTGTTTATTGATTGGTGTAGGAGGCGTGAGGTTGACCCAGTTAACTGCCCAGTGGCTTCAGTGCTGGAGTTCCTCCAAGATCGCTTCTCCTCTGGTCTTACCCCGTCCACGCTCAAGGTGTACGTGGCTGCCATTGCGGCTTTCCACGCTCCGTTGGGTGATGGGTCTCTGGGGAGACACCAATTGATCGTACGTTTCCTCCGTGGAGCTTGGAGGATGAGACCTGCGGCTCGTACCAGGGTTCCCTCTTGGGACCTGGCAGTAGTTCTAGAAGGATTGGCTGAGGCCCCCTTCGAGCCACTGGAGTCGGCTGAGGCCAAGAACCTAACGCTGAAGGTCGCTTTTCTGTTGGCCATCACTTCTCTGAGGAGGGTGGGAGATCTTCAGGCGCTCTCCATATCTAACGAGTGCCTGGAGTTTGCTCCAGGCAACATTAAGGCCATCCTTCACCCTAGGCCTGGCTATCTGCCTAAGGTGCCATCTAATGTGGCACGGCCTACGGTTCTGCAGGCATTTCATCCCCCACCTCACCTGACGGCGGATGAGGAGAGACTTCATAGGCTCTGCCCTGTCAGAGCACTGGGGATATATATTCAGAGGTCCTCTTCATGGCAGAAGGCGGACCAGTTGCTGGTATGTTTCGGGTCGCCCAAAAAGGGGTTTCCGGCCTCAAAACAAACCATCAGCAACTGGATTGTCAATGCGATTTCCACAGCTTATCAGGTGCGCGGTATGCCTTCACCTTTGGCTGTGAGGGCCCATTCCACTAGAGGCATAGCATCCTCTAGGGCCCTTCTCGCAGGGGCCCCCATCCAGGAAGTCTGCGATGCAGCTGGATGGGCTACCCCACATACCTTCATTAGGTTTTACAGCTTAGACATTCCGTCGACACCCGGCTCTCTTGTGCTCGCGTCCTGAGTGTGCCTGTGAGCAGCTTCACACCAGGACAGGCAGGGCGCGTTGTGGCGTAGTGGGTACTCGTTCCCCCAAAGTGTCACTTGGACGCAGTTCGAGTTCCCTCGATAGGGAACGTCCTCGGGTTACGACTGTAACCCTTGTTCCCTGAGAAGGGAACGAGAACTGCGTCTCGTGGCCACGCCTTCCCCTGCCTGGGAGCGCTTGCTTCATCACAGAAGCTGACATGTTGTGTGTGCCGGTTCCTTATATATGCTTCCGCCTATGTGTCGTCACACATCACGTCATCACGTTGATCCAATCGGAGATTGGCTTAGTTTCATTCATGCTTCAGAGACGCTACGCTGAGGGGCGTTCCCCCCAAAGTGTCACTTGGACGCAGTTCTCGTTCCCTTCTCAGGGAACAAGGGTTACAGTCGTAACCCGAGGACGTTTCCCATCTTCAAACTGAGGTAGAATCGAGGTTTTCAGCATCAACGTGTTTCCAGTTGTCAACTGCGTTGTATAAGATCTGTTCACAGCTTTCGTCGACTAGTTTCTGTCTGATAGATGCCAGATGCTCCACAATGTACATCTCATCTTTGAGCTCAAACAAAATGGTCTCCACAGCTCCCTGGATTCTTTGCAGGTGTGGGGTAGCCCCGTACAGATTCAAAGCCCGAGCTAAGATAGTTTTCAGCTCAGGTTTGAGTAGTTTCAGACTAATCTCATCAAAACAACTGTAAAAATAATACGGTGTAGGCTCAAACAGACACGAATGTCTTGTTTGGGATGGATGGTCTACAGTACATCCAACGCAATCCTTCTTCATTTGCTTATCAATCAGATATTCTAGTATGATGGTAACGATTGCTTTAATAATCCTGTGGCCAGTGTCACCAAGGCATCCGTCCAGCTTGTCACTAGATGTGGTGCCAGGGGTCTCAGCTGCAACTGTAGCAGCAGCAGCGGCAGCACAAACGCCAGCCCCGTAGCTCGTGAAGAATGCGAGATTGTGAAATCCAAGTTCCGTACAAAATTTATTTAGCCAGTCGATGCTTTGGTGGGGGTATCCGTTTGTAGCATATCCACCAACAGATCCGGAAGGGGAGATTGGTGAGGTGATATCCTCTTGAGACATGTTGAGTGTTTTGAGATAGAATGACTGCATGGGTTGGTATTAATGGTTGTAGAATTGGGAGGAGCTACAAGGACGCTTCTGTCCTGTATGAAGAGGCGTGGGAACTTTCTATTTTCACGCCCCTCTTCATCACGTGTTGTGGGAGGGTTCTAGGGGTGGAGCTTAAATCTGGTCAGTGTGTGACTGCCAGAAGCTTCAGTCTAACTTTGGGATTGTAAGAGTACGGATGTGTTTCACCGGGCTCCTCATGAGGACTTTTGGAATTATCTAAAGTTTTGGATATATACCTTTTGGATAAAGCGTTGCTGTTGGACACCTTTTGGATTAAAGCGTGGCTGTTGGATATGGGTGAATGACGGATTTAAAATGTGGAAAAAAATAAAACTGGCAAAAATGTCAAATTTTAGGACTTTCTATACTTATTAGAGTGTTGCGTGTGTAATGCAATGACATGAACACATTTCAAGAATGTAATTAACCATTTTTTCGGTGAATCAAATCTTTTTCCCCATGAAAATGTCATTCCTGGGTAACGTAATCAATTTTTAAATTAATTACATTTCTACTATTGTTGGCATATACAAATGTACTGGTATCCATAATTGGAGCTCAACAAACAATTAGTGCTTGTAAAACTACATTTCAATAATAATTAATATAATCAATTTGGTATTTAATATAGACATGGGCTCATTTTTGGCTGCTGAAAACTCAAAATTCAGAACCAAATAAAAAAAAAAACTGTAAAAAGTTTAAAAATGTTATCCAACAAAGTAAATAAGACTTATTTTATACTTAAAAAAAAAAAAAAAAAACAGAATTGTGTAATCTAATACACAAATACGGGTTAAATTAATTTCCTTTGTCATCGTTAGCCGGAATGACGTACTGTTAGACGGAATGACATTCTGCAATATGTTTCAGGATTATCATGAAAACCATCCTTGGTATCATTTTTCTTTCCAACACTCAAATTTGAAACAAAGTAAGAAACACTGAAACGTTTTTGATGATTAAAAAAAAGTTTAATCAACATTTTTTAACCCTCCAAGGTCTAAGGGTTTTTTTTTAATGCCAAGTCCACCTGGCACTATGTTGATATTTTGGCTTCTGGAACGGTCAATTTTCATAGCAGAGAAAAGAGAGACATATTTATGGATTCTACAGATTCTCAGCTACAATTTGGATGCATTGAAAATATACTTTTTGACACAATTATGCGTGTTATAATGTGATATTTCACCAATAAATACAAATAAATACAAAAACAAAAATTAATTTTTTTTGTTTTTATTATATAAAAATATGAAAAATAAATGCATAAGGGATTTTACAACAAATATTTATTCCTCAAAGACGTTTGAACACCTGCAAAAAAAAACTGGGTGAAAAAATATAAAGAAACAAAACAAATATTTACATTTCTGTAACTGTAGTCGCCATACTTTTTTTGAGAAAAACAAACAAATAAGATTATAAAACAAACTCTTCATTCAAATGAGATGTTCTCATCTCTCAATTTACAAAATATACAAAACCACCCCTAGATGGCACTGTGGACTGCATTTGAAATACTTGAAATATTGACGTTTCAATATTTGATGTTTGATTGTAAAAAAAATAGTCACTTACTGCTGGGAGCTTTAGAACTCCCATGTACAAAACCAAGCCAATGAATTTGAACATCTCTGCAGGGTTGATGCTGGTCCAACTTTTCCCAGCAGCAATGTTTCTCTCTGCCAACTTGTTTGTGTTGGCACACAATGTCCTGATTGAATCAGCACTAAAAAAAGTGCTTGAAAAGGCCGATGGGGTTTGCTCTACGGAGGTGTCCAATTGCACTCCAGGTTCCAGTCTGGGGCAAACCTGTGTGGACTGAGGGCGATTATTTCCGGCCTCCAATCCTTATTCCAACTGGTCTGGTGGTGCTGAACATCTGAAAGGTGAAAGTGACAAAATTATTACTGGAGTATTTATATATATATATATATATATATATATATATAATTATTATATAGTATATGCACAGAGTAAATAAAATGTATGAAACCCCTTCCCATGTAGACAAAATAGTATCAGGCCTTAGATAAGGCATACTGCACTATTATTTCTGAAAAGCTACACACACACAAAAAAAAATTCCCTAAAAAACATTATAATAAAATGCACAGAGTAAATACAATGTCTAAAGCAATCCCCCTCCCATTTAGACAAATAGCCTTAGAACTCACTGGCTGCACCATTATTTCTGAAAAACTACAATAACATTTTCCTAAAACACATTTCAATAAAATAGACAAGCAAAGTAAACGAAATAGCTTATAAATGCAGATGGATTACATTGAGGCAAAACGCGCACATGTTTGATTACGCACATGGCGTTCATAGTTTGATTGCGCGCATACTTTGCGCATGATTTGGCGCAGATGGCTTGTGTTTGTGAGCACACACATTGTTTGATTACAGATCCGTTATTTCTGAAAAGCTATAATAAAATAATCTGACTAAAAACTATACAATATATATTAGACAATATATTATCAGTAATCTATCATTTATACTTACTCCTCAAATGGATCGAGTCCGTGGAATATGACCTTCCTCCCAATCAAACCGCTCTGGATCGGATCAGATCTGCTTTCACTCTCATCACTGTCGTCAAAAAGCATTTCAGCAACTTGCTCGTCCGAGAATCTCCGTTGTGGCAGGTTTTCTTTCTTGGAAAGTGCAAATAAGCTGTATGATCACTTCCAACTCTGCGCGTTTGGACACCGCGTTTAGCATGTAGCGCGCTAGCCGCTGGATTTCACACACACACATGGCTGAAGCTAATCGCCACACCCCTTCACGTTGTCTGAACACGTCATCTTGTGTTTTGGTCAGTGATTGGTTCACACACAGGTCTTTTATTGGACACACACCGAAAGCATTGCACTTCATTTGAATAGACTAGAGTAAAGTAATATTTGTTTGTTTTGCAGTAAAATGCTATAGATTTGCACTAAAATACAAAATGCTTTTGAATCGCCGAAGTCAACACAGTTTATGCAGACGAATGTCAGCTTTTTCATAAAAAAAAAGTAAATTAATACCGTCATCCAAACCGAAGTTATTAATAGATATGTAAGGGGAGTGCCGATTGACGCTCTAGAGCGTCAAACGAATGTAAATTGATTAATTCAGCCAACACTTAAATGCAACAGCATTTCATCCATTTTGTGGTAAAACATTAACGTATTTCATACATTTTGTGATAAAACATTAACATATTTCATACATTTTGAGATAAAACATTAACATATTTCATACATTTTGTACCTATTAGATTTGGTAATAGCATTACCTACATTAGAAATTATACTTACTCATTAAGTGAGATTGTAAGCATTCACGTAACCATTTGTGTAACAAATCTATCTATTCAGATCAATTCACAACACTGGTAATACAGTGTAAGGAAGATTTGGAACTTTTGATGGGAACTTTTGAACATTTCCATAGGAACTTCATACATTTTTGTTCTGTGACACCCACAATGAGTGTGGCTATGTGACTACCACATGTTTTGGAATTTCTTCCAGTCTGGGTTACATAGTTGTGACGAAAGGTTTGTTAATGGCTCAGGCTCCGATAGGATGGCTTGCATGTCAGATATGTAATAAAATATTATATCTGGGGTGGTTGGCCACACAAAGGCGTTTTTGCCCATTGTCTGACGCATGCAGTTCACTTCAAGTTCATCATCATCCACCAGATTCAGGACTTGGCCTACAAATGGCTGGGCATCATATTTAACAATCACAAACCTTCCAACTATATCTGGTGTAATAGTAAGATGTGGTGTTGTTGCAAGAGCATTGGTGGGTAATTCACACACATCTTTGCAATTCATGTCCACTTCATTTGGACTGAAGCAGTCACAGTAGTTACCCTTCCCTCGGCTGCAGAAGCAGGACAGCTCTCTGTGCCTAAACCGTCCAGGGGTAAGACGCAC